GGCGGCAGGGTTGCCCTCCCCCGTTCCCCTGGTACTCGGCCTCGGGCAGGGATGACCCCCGCCGCCCTGCCCCAGGGTTCGGTCTCGGGCAGGACTGACCCCGCCGCCAAACCCCCAGGATTCGGTCTCGGGCAGGAGTGACCCCCCTCGGGGACCCAAGATCCGGCCTGGGGCGGCACAGGCGCGGGCTCGCGGGCGGAGACGGGCTTGCGACTGGGCCGCGCAGCTGACCTCATTGCTTTGGCCGCCGGAAAGCCCGCGTGAGTCCCTTTGGTTGTGTGCCTTTCTGCCAGCTCTCCCGGATTCTACTTCATTTTTATTTTTTTATAATCAATATTTTTTATTATGATATTGTGGGGTACAGTTAAGGTTTAGGTATACAAATACGTTTCGTTCAGGCACCCTTGTTGATAAGAGGTGTTTCCCTATTTTCATTTTTCTAGTGTCTGTTTTTGTAAGAGATCCGAAATCTCTTTGTGGAATGAAATGGCATGAAAAATAATCGTTAGTATTAATCGTGTTTACTGCTCTTTCACTTAACATTAGATTATTAAAGTCTTCCTCTTGTGCGTAATCTATATGGACATGACTTTAAATTATTTTATTAAATTTGCAATGATCAGTCCCATTTTATTGATACTTAGATTGTTTCCAATTTTTGCTACTAATACAGAGAATTTGTTTATGCCATAGCTTCACCTTTAGGATTATTTCCTTGGTCTCTGTGCCCCAGAAGTGGACTTGATTGGCTTGGAGGGAATGAACATAATACCTCCTAGATAGATAGACAGATATTTTTTGAGACTGTCTCACTCTGTGGTTCAGGCTGGATTGCAGTGGCAAGATAATGGCCCACCGCAGCCTTGACCTCCTGGGCTCCCGGGTTCCTTCCACCTCAGCCTCTCAAGTAGCTGGGACTCACAGGTATGTGCCACCACACCAAGCTGATTTTTACCTGGGCCAGTCTCAACTCTTGTATTCAAGCAATCCTCCTGCCTTGGCCTCCAAAGTGCTGGGATTACAGGTGTGAACCACTTGCACCCAGCCGCCTCCTAGACATTTTTTGAAAGTTATGCAGTTAGTACTTCCTAAATTAGATTCCTACTTAATTTTTTATTATGATTCACACAAACCTCTTAATATTAAGTTCTGAGCCATATTTTTGGTCATATCTTTATTGCTTATTATAATTTTATATCTTTAAATGTTAAGTATTTTTTGAAAAGCCCACTGAGGTTTTTTAGAAGTTCAATTGGATTTCTTGTTTCTTATGCATCCTTTGAGTAACTATTTGTAACCAGTGTGTATTTGTGGCAGTCACATAAAAGCAAGCAGAAATCTCAAGGAACCCCATGAAGGTACTTAGTAAATTTATGTTAACATGAGCCCCAGCCTAGTTATGGAGAGTGTACCCTAGCCTGAAACAGGGAGCTCTGTAATCTTGGCACTCATTACCATGGTGTAAGGAGTCATGAAGTGCTTCTAGCACCATCCCCACCTTCCCACCCATGCTGCCTTGGCCCTCTGTGCTGTCCACTGCCCCCCTGCCTTCCTCAGAAGACCCTGTCCTTTGATGTCTGCCCGTTAAAGGGCTGCTCATTCTTCAAAATCTGGCTTGTATGAAACAGTATGTCCATTGTGAGCCCACTTTTATTGATTGTTCTTATATCTTTCTATACAACTGTGTTAAGGTTTTCTCCAGAGAAACTGAGCCAATAGAGGGGAGAGAGAGAGAGATTATAAGGAACTGGCTTGTGGATTCGAATGCCGATCTCATCCAGACACCAGAAATAATGTTTAACAAAATCTGGGGCAGTTAGATTGACATGCAAAATTTACCATCACAACACCATTCATTTGCACTAGGGAACTCAATTCATTCTACCTGTATTTCACTTATTTAAGACTTGTCTGTATTCCTAACTCTTCCCCATCAGACTGTGAGTTGCTTTTATCTTTTCTTTCTTTGAGTCCCTTAGGGTTCAGTGCTGTGCTGCACACAGATACAACTGAAAAAATTTTCTTGAATAAAAGTGATTCATATGATCCATGTAGACGATGTGATTGTGACAGATGTGTTTTATTCCTAGTATATGATTAATGTTTTTCTTTACTCTAAGGTATATCTCCATGAATAACTTAAATGATCCCCCAAACTGGAATATCCGGCCTAATTCCAGGGCTGATGGCGGTGATGGAAGCAGGTGGAATTATGCTTTGTTGGTTCCAATGCTGGGATTGGCTGCTTTTCGTAAGTCGTGTTCCTAACATTTTGTGTTTCGGGGCTGAAGGTGTGGAGCCTTGCTGAGGGCGGCAACAAGGTGTGGGAACCAAAGACTGTGACTTTGGGACTTGACAGGGACAGCCTGGTTTTATCCCACACAGTAAGTCTTGGGCAAGCGACGTAACCTTTCTGAGCCTCTGTTTACCTGCTCGTGGGAGATGGCTAATCATGCTTGCTTCAACACATTGTGAGTATTAAGTAAGACACATTATTTTGAAGCATTTTGCATGGAGCGGGCTTAATAACTTAGCTGTCAATAAAGGTTTTTCTGCTCTGAAGGGATATCCCCTGCTTTTGTTGCCTTCATGAGGACTGATGGGGAAAAAAACAGGTGTCAAGAAAACCAGTTTTGAATGTATGTTTAATGTTTAGAAAATCGGTCTTTGGGAGACTTCATCCATGAATCCTCTGTTCAGCATGACCAGAAATTCTCTCGTTTAAGTTGACTTAGCATCACTTTGGGGACTTACCAGCCACATGCACACTTATGGGGGAGCAAAAACAGAATTTATTTATTCAAAAATTGTGTATTCTTACATGTTTATATTTCAGTCACCTTCAAAGTACTGAAGTATGCCTATCAAGACACTTTTTCTACTGCTCAAAACAGTTTTTGAACTCATCAATGATGATGCCTTTTAGTGCTTCTGCCATTTTTTGTTTTACCTCTTCCACACTGGCAAAACATTTCCCTCTGAGGACTTTTTCTATCCAGGGAAACAAACCAAAAAAGTCCCAGGGGTGAGATGGGTGAATAGGAAGGGTGGGGCACCCGGGGTCATGCTGCTTTTGGCCAAAAACTGTTGAACACTCAGCACAGTGTGGACAGGTGGTTTGTTACAGTGGACAGACCAGTCACCTGTTTGCCACAACTCAGGACATTTCTACTGCAAATTGTGACTCAGCCTTCTCAAAACTTCCAGATAAAAACTTTTGTTGACCATTTGATCCAGAGGAACAAATTCTGAGTGTACTACAAGGGGCTGGCCCTCCAAAAGATAAATTTGGGTTTTTGGCGGGACTCTCCCCTTGTATGATAACCCACCACATAATTAATTGACTGATGTTGAGAGTTTTATATTTCTGCGTATTCCATTATTCTGGATTGGCACTTAATAATAAGAGACACCAAATAATTTAATGAAAGGCAAAAACTGCCCTCTGTAGTAGTACTTGTAATGTAGAGCCTTTTTACATGCTTGGACTCTCAGGTCAGCAGGTTTGCTGTAGAGGAAGTGGAGGCTGATAAGAGTAGGTGACATTTATGATTCAGTGATCTGCATGTCTGCTTCTAAACAGCAGCTCCACGGGGTTACTTTGGAAGCTCACCAGCCTGTAGTCTTGCAGAGCTCACACTCAGAAAGGCTGTTGCCCTTGGCGAGGGCGCCGAGCCTCCACGTCAGTGAGTGAATTGGAAGGCCGAAAATACTCTTACTCATGTAGTAATTAATTGACTTTGAGGCTGGGTGAGGCCCGCATGGCTTTTATTTTCCCTCTTGTCTTTCAGACTCGTCTCTAACTTTTTTTTTTTTTTTTTTGAGTTGGAGTCTCACTCTGTCACCCAGACTGGAGTGCAGTGGCTGCTCCCGGCCACCGCAGCCTCACCTGCTGGGCTCCGGCGATCCTTCCACCTCAGCCTTCCGAGTAGCTGGAATTACAGGCGCGCACTACCACGACCGGCTAATTTTTTGATTTATTGTAGAGATGAGGTCTCACCAAGTTGCCCAGGCGGGTCTCGAACCCGCGGGCTCAGGCAATCCACTCACCTCAGCCTCCCAAAGGCACGGGATTACAGGCTGAGCCACCGAGCCCGGCTCATCTCTAACTTTTATAGCCTCTTATAACTTTCATTTCTGAAATTCTTGCCTTTCCTCTGTGGAGTTTTGAAATGATGCTTCTATCCTGAGAAAGGTTGGAGAATATTTTTTTTTCTTGTTTTTTTTGCTGAGGTAGTGTGATGAGAGGTAACTTTTAACTTTTCATTCTTGTGAGAATTCTCAAAAAATGTATTATTACGTGTTTGAGAAGTTATATTGCAACATATGAGTATTAACAAGGCCCCTAGTGTAGTCTCAAAGTAAAGGCAGATAAATGAACACTTAGTAAGCACTGTTGATTGATTTATTGATGAGAGGCTAGTTTTTTCCTGATCATTTGCTAGACTTTATAACTTAACATAAAGATTCGTATAATTGTGCCTGTCTGAAAGAGCAGTCCATAGGGAAATTCTTACCCTGAGTAGCTCCCCTGGGAGAGTGTTCAGTGTTTCAGCCTTGGTGGGCTTCTCTCTCCATACCTCCTCTGTCATCCTCCGCCTCCCAAGTCTTCCTGATTCTCCCTTTCCCATCTCTCCATGCTTTCTCCCTGCTTGCATTCCCTTGCCTCTTCTTCTCTCCTGTCCTAGAAAACATATCGTCTTACTGAAAGGGGCTGGTTGAGCTCCCTTAGTCCAATCAGTTTCTTTTTGTTAAACCATATTTTGAGGTCATTGTAGATCACATGCCATTGTAGTAAGTCATACCGAAGTCCCATATACCCTTTACCCAGTTTCCCTCAATGTTAGCGTCTAGTGCAACATCACAACCAAGACATTGACTTAAATCCAGTCAGATACAGAGCACTTTCATCTCCAGGGGGACAGCCACAGTTCCCTCCTCAGCCCTGGCAGCCAGGGCTGTTCTTCTGTTGTCTTCGCTCTGATCTCTAGTGTTGTTATTTCAAGAATGTTACACACATGGAACCAAGCATTGTGTAGCCCTTTGGGGTTGACTTTTTCCACTCAGTTTAGGCCCTGGAGATCCATACACGTTGCCGTGCCAGCAGTTCAGAGATCGCTTTTATGCTAAGTGGTGCTCCATCGTATGGATGTGCCACAGTTTAACCATACACCCACGAAAGACATCTGGGTCATTTCCAACTTTTGGCTATTATGAATGAAGCCATTGTAAACATTCTTTTTTTTTGAGTTGGAGTCTCACTCTGTCACTCAGACTGGAGTGCAGTGGCTGCTCCCGGCCACCGCAACCTCGACCTGCTGGGCTCCAGCGATCCTTCCGCCCCAGCCTTCCAAGTAGCTGGAACTACAGGAGCGCGCTACCACGCCCGGCTCATTTTTGATTTATTGTAGAGATGAGGTCTCTCCAAGTTGCCCAGGTGGGTCTCGAACCCGCGGGCTCAGGCAATCCACTCACCTCAGCCTCCCAAAGGCGCGGGATTACAGGCTGAGCCACTGAGCCCGGTAAACATTCTTGAACAGGTTTTTGTGTAGATGTAAGTTTTCATTTCTCTGTGGTAAACGACCAAAAGTGCAGCTGCTGGGTTTCATGGTAGTTGCACGTTTAGTTTAGTTTTGTTTTGAGTTGGAGTTTTATTCCATAACCCAGGCTGGAGTGCAGTAGCCAACTCACAGCCACCCCCGCGTCAACTTACTAGGCTCTGGGGATTCTTTTGCCTCAGCCTGCCAAGTAGCTGGAACTACAGGCGTGCACTACCACACCTGGCTAATTTTTAAAAAAATTTTTTGTGGAGATGAGATCTTGTCAAGTTGCCCAGGCTGCTCTTAAACCCACAGGCTCAGGCAGTCCACTGGCCTTGGCCTCCCAAAATTCTAGGATTATAGGCTGAGCCACTGAGCCTGGCACGTTTAGTTTTTTAAGAAACTGCCAGAATGTTTCCCCAAGTGGCTGTACCATTTTATGTTCTCACCAGTAATGCATGAGTGATCTGGTTTTTCTGCGTGCTCACCAGCTTTTGCTGTTTCACCACTGCTTTATTTCGCCCATTTTAATGGTGTGGTGATGTCTTATGGTTTTGATTTGCTTTTCCCTAAAGGTTAGTGCTGAAGATCTTTTCACAAGCACATTTGCCATCAATGTATCCTTTCCCCTGAAATGACTGTACTTGTCTTTCAGCCATGTTTTCAGTCATGTTGAGTTTTGAGAGTTTTTACTAAAGTGTTGTGTGTTCTGGTCTTTAGCTGACGGTGTGGTTTGCAGACATCTCCCGGTCTGTGACTTGTCTCTTCATTTTCTTAACAGAGTCTTTTGCTAAAGCTATGATTTTGCTGTAGTGCAGTTTGTCATTGTTCCTTTTTGTGGCTCACGCTTTTCGTGCCTGATCTAAGAACTCTTGGCCTGGCCCCGGATTCTCAAGACTCTTTCCGGCTTTTTCCTAAAGTTTTATGTTTAAGCCCATGATTCATTTGAGATAGTTTTTGTATTGTGACTTTGGTTTTATTTCCTCCTTCCAGTCTGTTTGCCTTTGATTTCCTTCCCTTGCCTTCCCGTGCTGACTGGAACTTCCAGGATTCTGTTGAGTGGTCCCGGACCTTAAAGGGACATCCTGCAACCTCGGGCTGTAGGTTTTTGTAGATGCTCTTTATCTACAAAAAAAGAATGTTTATCGAGGAAGTTTCCTCAGTTTCTGTTTTTCATGAATGAGTGTTGATTTTCTCAAATGTTTTGGCATCCATTGATAACGATCATGTGGTTTTTCTTCCATAGCCTAGGAATGTGTTGGATTACATTGATTGCTTTTCAGATATTAAATCAGGCTTCCATCTCTGGAATAATTCCACTCGGTTGTGCTATACAATTGTTTTTATGTGTTGTGGAATTGCATTTGCTTGTATCTTGTGAAGGATTTTTGTGTTGGTTCATAAGGGAAATAACTGAGTATCTCTGCCCGTTGGAGGGTACTCTGTCTCCTTACTTATCCATCATTTATTTTTCAGGTATTTTTCAGCTCTAAAATTTCCATTTGTTTCTTTTTTATATCTTCTGTTACTTTGCTTGGACTTTCTATTCTGACAGCTGCTTTAAAAATCTTTGTGAGATCATACTAACATCTCTTGTTTAAATATTGGCATCTATTAATTATCTTTTTTTCATTTAGTCTGGATCATCGTGGTCCTTGGTGTGACAAGTGAGTTTTCATTGGGACCCAGGTGTTTGGGGAATTAGGTGATAAAACTCTGTTTTTTATTTACTACATCTGTTCTGGCTGGCCTTCTTGAGCAGTGTCTGGCAGGTGAAGGGTGGTGCATCCTCTTCACTGCCAGGTTGGGGTAGAGTTCCAGGCTCCCCACTCAGCCTCTGCTCCAGTTGACCCCAAGGGGAAGGGCAAGAGCTCCCACTCCCCCTGAGCCTCCACTGATCCGGGAGGGGTCAGTATTCCCACGTGACTTCCTCTGTTGTAGTCGGTGGTGTAGGGGGCCCGGGCTTGCAGCCTCACCTGGTGCCCCCGATTCGGCCTTCTCCCAGGTGGATGGAGGTGGGGCCACAGTTTTTCTACATTATTTGACTGTAGTAGAGGGGTTATTGTCCAAAAGTTTTCTGTCTTATTAGGCCCCTCTCCTGGCCCTTCAAAGGGAACAGCTTACTGGAGCTTTCTTTTTTATCTGTGCCCATTGGCTTTTGCAGTTGCCCTTGTCTTCAGCTCCACATCTAGGATCCATGAGACAAGATGAAAACCAGGAGACTTGTCCCATGCTGCTCCTGGGTCCTGAGGACCCTCGCCTGTCCTCTCCACCTTTCAGTGTCATCTTACATTTGTCTTATATGTGTTGATCAGGGTAGTTTAGCAGGAAGAATGGGGAAGTCCATGTCCATTCCATCTTCCCCGAGCCGGAGTCCCAGCTGAAATTAAGGCTCTGAAAAGCTGTATCTGCCCAGAGTCATGAGACAAGCTTTATGTCACATGAGACCTGAGTTCAGGTTTCTCGACATCCAGTCTACCCTGCTGCGCTGTCCTCTGCAGAGCTCCTGGTCCTCTCTCCCGTGTGGCTGCCCATCCAAACAAAGCTTTCCCATTAAGTGCAGCCTGTGCTCTGTGGACTAATGTGTAATTGTGTGGGTCGTCTAGGTCAGTCTCCAGTTGTTATATGTGCAAGTTATGGGACTACTCAGGTTCTACCCAGAGCGTATCCAGGAGTGGCTCCCTGTTTCAGGTCTCCCTCTTTTTGCCTTCTGTCCCACCTCTAAACCCTCCATGCCTCTACCGGGACGATGTCCAATCAGATTACTCTATCCCCCCCTTTTTTTTTTTTTTTTTTGAGTTGGAGTCTTACTCTCGCCCGGGCTAGAGTGCAGTGGCACACTCGTGGCCACTGCATCCTCGACCTGCTGGGCTCAGATGATCCCACCTCAGCCTTCCAAGTAGCTGGAACTACAGGCGTGCACCACCACACCTTGCTAATTTTTTTGATTTATTGTAGAGATGAGGTCTCATCAAGTTGTCCAGGCTGGCCTTGAACCGCTGGACTCAGGCAGTCTTCTTGCCTCAGCCTCCCAAAGTGCTGGGATTACAGGTGTGAGCCACTGCACCGGCTATTCCTTTTCTTATGAAAAATTATTTTTTTCCTTTTTTCTTTTTTTTTTTTGAGGCAGGGTCTGGCTCTCACCCAGGCTGGAGTGCAGTGGTACGATCACATCCTACTGCAGCCTCAAGCTCCTGGGCTCAAGTGATCCTCCTGCCTCAACTGCCCCAGTAGCTGGGACTACAGGCACACACCCTACGCTTGGAAGTTTTTAAAAAATGTATCGTAGTGATCCTCCCACCTCAAAAAAATAGCACTGGGATTACCGGTGAAGAAACGTCTCATGACTCCTCATGGCTACAGGGTGGATTCCATGTTCCTCATCAGAGTCTACAGGGCTCCTCTTGTTTGGCACCAGTGGCTTTCCCAGAGTCAGCTCCTGCTTCTTGCTCTGTGACATAAGCCTCATCCTCCAGGCATACCGGCTCCTGGACGCTCTCAGAACATGTGGTGCTCTCTCCTGCCTGCCCCATTCATTCTACTTGAACAGCTTTTCCTACAGACTCCCCTCAGCCATCCAGATCTGTTCATTCCCCTTTCTGAAGCTTCCCTTGACCGCCCTAAAACCGACCAAGTCCCCGTTCGTCTCTTCTGTGAGTCTTTCATCCCCGGAGACTTCTCCATGCTCATCGGGTAGCACTGTGCCACCTCTGTCCTGGTCAGCCTCCCTGCCCATGAGCCTCTCATCCTCCCCAGACCTCTCGGTGTTCACTGGGTGATACCGTGCCGCCTCTGTCCTCCTCAGCCTCTGGCCTGTGAGCCCTTCTGTGAAGGGAGGAGATAAAGATTCATGAGTCATTGAGTTATTTGACTGAAGTGGGGCTGGAAGCTGTTTCTGGGGAAGGAAGAGTTTGGTTTTACGCTTGAAGAATTGAAGTGGCAACAGCACATGCCACAGGTCACATACAGCTTTTGGTCTAGGCTTTGAGAACACCTACCCAGCCCCACCTGTGCACATTGTACCCAATAGGTATGGTTTTTGTCCTTCCCCCTTCTGAGTCTCCAGTGTCCATTATACCACTCTCTGTGTCTTTGCAAGTCTGTGGTTTAGTTCCTCCTTGTAAGTGGGAATGTGCACATCTTGGTTTGTGTTCCCGAGTTAGTTCCCTTAGGATGATGTTCTCCAAGCCCATCCAGGTTAAAAGCTGAGGTCTAAAGCTTTCATTAAAATGCTATCCATAGCTGCTTTGTGATGTCTGTAAGTGAAGATTATAGAACTTCAGCTCTAACTTTTCATTATGTGTATGTTCTTCCCCATTTTACTCATGTCAGGTTGGATTTGGTCTAGGGAGTCCCAGAAAGAAATAGAAAAGGAAAGAGAAGCATACCGTCAGAGAACTGCTGCTTTCCAGCGGGATCTCGAAGCCAAGTACCACTCTGTGATCTTAGAAAGTCGGCGCGCTGTTGCTCAGTTGTCTTTGGAGCTTGAAAAGGAACAAAACCGAACGACTAGTTATCGAGAAGCCCTTATCTCTCAGGGGCGCAAGTTGGTAGAAGAAAAGAAGCTTCTCGAACAGGAACGGGCACAGGTAATGCAAGAAAAAAGACAGTCACAGCCTTTGAGAAGTACATATCTGAGCTGCCTGGAAAAGGAGGAAGACTGGCAAAGGAGAGCCAAGCTTTTGCTGAAAGAGTTTGAAGCAGCTCTCACAGAAAGACAGAACATCTACTGCAGCCTGTTTCTTCCTCGCAGCAAGCGACTCGAGATAGAGAAGAACTTACTGGTACGAGCGTCCGTTGACCCAGTTGCTGCTGACCTAGAGATGGTAGCTGGTCTAAGCGACATATTTAAGCATGATACGTATTGTGGTGATGTCTGGAATACCAACAAAAGCCAGAATGGGAGACTGATGTGGCTGTATCTCAAATACTGGGAACTAACCATCGAACTGAAAAAGTTTAAGGGCGTAGAGAAGGCCATACTAGACAAGTAAGACAAGAATGAAATAAAACCACTTTTAATAACTTGAGGCCAGGCTGTCACCGTGCATTCTGGGAATCTGGCATTTTCTGTGTCAGTGCTGCCTGCACCATGGCCATACTGTCACCTTTCAGCACCAACCTCCACTCCCACCACTCTCTGAGCAGAAGTACAGTGAGGCTTCAGAGACAAAGGATTTCCTTGGTAATGCTCTGTGACTGCTAAGGATACAGTTTCCCTGAAGCATTTCTTAAGCTGCCAATATTTTGTTAAGCAGAACAGTATAACCTCATATTTTAGCTCTAGGGTCAAATGGTTTTTTGAAAGTCAAGTATAATGTTGATCCTTACTATAAGTGAGGATTTTCTGTCTGTTTTTATCACTTCCTAAATAAATTATGTTTTCTCCTCAAATTATTTTCCTCTCTCCCAAAGTATATTTAGAAGTTGTCAGGTAATTTATAGAACTGCCTAGCAGATGATAATAGAAAGTAGTAATATTGTATTATTAAGACTTTATATTTTAAAGTTCTCTCTCACCTCACAAGGGAAAAAAACCCCAAATGTTTCTTGTATCCAGTTGTTACCCTTGTGTATGTTTGAAATTTGGCTTGTGTTTGTATCAGTAAGCAGAAGTTGTTTATTAGCAGTGACATATACTCAAAAATATTTGCCATTTATAAATAATAATGCCACTCTTTATTTTTGTAATTCTTTCCTCTTTACAAAGCGTTTTCATGTATGCTATCTCCATTTTTAAATGCAACCTGAAAGGTAGACAGGCACTTGTGACTCCATTTTACACATAGCCAATGTAAATTGCTCATGTAATCCTCCCTCTAGTCCGATGAAGTAACTATTATTGGTATTCTTGGGCATGTGTTCCCCAAGACCAACCCCGGTTCCATGATCTGCTGGGAGCTCTCATAGGACTCAGCATATAATTATACTCACAGCCAAGATTTATTACGGAGAAAGGACATGAAGCAAAATCAGCAAAGGGAGGAAGCCACCTGGGATGAAGTCCAGAGGAAACCAGGCACGGGCATCCCAGCGTCCACGCCCCGTGGAGTCACACAGGATGTGTGTGAAATGTCCATTGGGGAAGCTCGCTGGAGACTCCGCACCAGAGCTTTTACTGAGGGCCAGTCACGTGATTCCCTCTGCCTGGCACACACCAAAATTCCAGATTCCCAGAAGGAAAGCCTGTTTGGAACAACCCCTATTTTTTGCTTACGCGGTTTAGGTACAGCGAATCATGCTTGTCAGTCAATGTGCGGGGAACTCCCCAAACCCAAGTTCCAGATGCAGCCCAGGACAGCCTCGTAAACAGGCCCTGAGGGGACAGCCTTCTCTAGGTCTCACTTTACAGGCATGGGCACTAAAGCTGCCATGTGGCAGAGTCAGCCTGCCTGCGGTCATGTAGTGGTAATGTTGGGGTCCCAGGCACTTGGGCTTCAGAAGCCCAATAGCCTGTGTGCAGTTATGTGACAGCGGGTGGCCAAGTCAGAGTGGGAGCTGAGCTCATCCGCCCTGCCTGCCTGTCTATGTGGGAGTAAGACAAACTGTCAAAAATACTAGGTTTTTAGGAAACTTCAGTCCAGTTGTGGGGTCAGCACAACATCGACTATGCACGGAGTCTCACATGGTTGTTTTTGTTTTTTTATTTGGGGTCTCACTCTTGCCTGGACTGGAGTGCAGTGGGCCAATCATGGCTCACCACAGCCTCAAACTCCTGGGCTCAGCGATTCTCCTGCCCAAGTAGATGGGACTACAGGCACGCACCACCATGCCCAACTGAATTTTCTTTTTTGTGGAGACAAGGTCTCGCCATGGTGCCTAGGCTGGCTTAGATGGTTTGTGTTTATATGTTCTCATTCCTCAGAGCCACTTTAGCAATGAGGAGGCAGGCCCAGGGCGCTAAAGTAAGCTACCTAAGGTGGGCAGGAGCCTTCAGCACCCGTCTGTGTTCAGCCCCTGCGCCCTGCTCAGCATGGTTTGCTTGATACTTCCCTTCATTGGCTACTGATCTTTCTGCTATGTTGCCCTCACCGATCTGAACACAGGCCCCTTCTTTAGGCACGTGGACTAGGACACTTCCTCTAGTGATGTGCGCCTCCTGGGGCACCACTCCCTTGCCTGAAGAGTGGTGCCGGTTCCTCTCCCGACTGAATCACCCTGCGTCCCTGGATGGCATGCTTCTCTCTGTCTTTCAATGAAGAAAATGTACTCAGCTGTTTTGTAGGTGAACCCTTGTCCTGTTTTCTAATGCTGTTTGACATGCTTTACGCCTAGCTGCCTTCAATGCTAACATGAGTGTGTTCGGCTCACTGTCATCCACGTAGACGCTGGCCCAGTACTGCAGAGTGAGGAGGATGAGCTTTCTGTAGGAAAGATGCTAGGGCATGTTGGTGATCGTGTGGCATGGCGGCCTTCCATCGGCAAGTTTAAGTGTTAATGAGATGCTGTCCATCTTTTTAAGTTTGTTTTTTTAGGTTTGACATATTTACACAATGCTACGGCCATTGAATGGCTTCACAGATGTGCCAAAAGATACCTGGATAAAGTCAGATCGTGGTGGAACATTCATCAACCAAAGTGGCATAAAGTTGCGAAAAGAATAGGGACCTAAGAGCTGTTTGATATGTGTGCAGAGGTTTGTTGAGATTTGAGAGCATTTGTCCTGGCTGCTTTCCTGGAGGTCACAGTAACTACGAAATCTCAAGCCATTGAGGCAAGGAGGACCCTCCAGGGTAAGAAGGGGAGCCCTAGGAGGGCCCACGTGGAAGCAAGTCCGGGTTAGTTAGGGAAAGTCACCCGCAACAGGCTTGCGAGAGGAGGGTTCGCCATGGAAAAGGAGGACTGACTTGTATTCCTTGTTTTTAATTGAATTAGGTTATTATCAAATTATTGTGTATGAGGTTACAGTGGCTATATTTCTGGTTGGGCAGAAGTTTGAAAAAGAAAGAACTTTTGGGAGGAGGTGTTCAGGTTGTGCTTTTAAAATTGGCTGGCTTCAGACTGCCTTACCTTGAAAGGAACAACAGTGGAACCGGGCATCCCAAACAAGTTTGGGAGAGGCAGCACTCCCCACGAGTCTAGTCAGCTCATTTCCCAGATATGCTTTTTCTCCTTTCTTAAGGCTCATAGATAAAGATGTGTTATTCTTATATGTACTTCACATATGTGTATATATGTATAGATATATGTGTACAAACTGTTGATTTCACGATGAGAAAAACAATTCTGCACACTTTGCACCAATGATGGAAGGTTTTGACAGGGAAAAAGCTTCACCAAAGAACCTGTGTGTTCTTTAAAAGAGAAGTTATGTCGAATTAAAATGTATAACTGACTGTTTCTGTGTTGGATTGTTTAAAAGTGATTGCTTAATAGTATACTAAGATCATCATCTCTTTCAGAAGAAGGGAGAAGACTCTGCACTTTCACTTCTTAGTTTCACTATAGAAAGCGAATCTGTATAATACACATATATGAACCTGCAGAGAACAAGTTGCCGTCAGAGCCGTTGCTTCCTTCACTGGATGTCTTGTCCCAGCACAAGGACGTCCTGTGCTGTGTTGAGAGAAACCTGTATGTCTGGGGAGGCTCCAGATAGCAGCGGCCTGCCGTGCAGATGGTGCTGGGCTTGCTGCCTCTGCCTTGATCTGTGTAGCTGCGCTGGCTCTGTGGGTGGAGGCCAGCATAGTCACGATACTGCTGTATTAATCAGGACTCGGGCTGAAAGCAACATAAATCAACTCAAGCTTGCTTAGACAGTTAAAAGGGGGACTTACTTTAAGTCTATCTCATGGAACCTCAGGGCAAGAATGGAGAATGTGGTTAGATGTCAGAACTAGAAATGACAACTATCAGGGACCTCAGAGTCACTGTCTTTGTGCCTCATATCTCTGCATATCTATTTTATTTTATTATTTTTTAGCCAGAGTCTCACTCCATCGCCCAGGCTGGAGTGTAGTGGCACATCCACAGCTACCCCAGCATTGACCTGCTGGGTGCAGGCAATCCTCCGCTTCAGCCCTCCACATAGCTGGAAACACAGGTGTGTGCCACCACGCCCAGCTAACTTTTGATTCACTGTAGAGACGCAGTCTCACCAAGCATCTTGGGCTGGTCCTGAACCCCAGTGCTCAGGTAATCCCACCTCGGCCTCCCAAAGCGCTGGGACTATAGCCTGGCCCGCATATCTATTTTAATACCTCCCTGCAAACCAGCCTCTGTGGCCACATGGAGGGGTTGTGGCCACACCTCAGTGCCTGAGCTTGCATCTTGCCTGTGTTGCTCCATTGGGCAGCGAGAAGGATTGTGAGGTGTGTGACTTTTGCTGACTTCATGGGAAATCGAAGAGAAAGTGAAGGGCTTCAGTAAGCTGAGTATCAGCTCAAGGTGTGTGGTAGAAACCAGAGGGCCTCTGCGGCAGCCTCAAAGAGCACACTGGCCTGCTTGGACTCCAACAGGTCTGGAGTCTCGCTGTGCGGGGACAGGACCGGCAGGGGCCTGAATGCTGCACAGCTGCTCACAGGGCAAGGCTGCCCCAAGACCTGGGCCCAGAGGCCTGGATGGGACACTGGGTGGGCAAGTCCCACTCATGGGAGCCTGTTGTGCTAACACAGGCATGCCCACCTCGTCGGGAACGAAAAGCTGCCTTGCCCGGGACTCCTGCATAGACCTCGGGTGAAGCCCAGTCCCTGTGGAGAACCCAAACACTGCTCCCAGAGGAGGTGCGGGCCCGGCCTGGGTGCAGGCGGGATCTGGGTGAGGGGCCTTCAGTTGGAGGGGCAGGGAGTAGCAGAAGCAAGGTTGTCTGGGTGGAAGATAACCCATGGGACACTAGACCACTCTGTGCTTTGTGTTTGCCAAGGACACTGCGGCCAAGCCTTTCCCTGTGGAGGCCTTCTGGAGGCTGGTTGGTGGCCAGCAGGCAGGGATGAGATGCTGGGGGCCTCCTGGCAGAGAGGGCTAGGAGTGTGGATGCTAGAACCCCACTTGTGAGCCACCCTAACTGCCATCGCTCCCCTCAGGCCAGGGCTGACCTTGCTCAGTGGTGCCACGGGACAGAGTCCATGCTAAGGCGTTCTGGATTGGCAGAGGCGGGTAGCAGGTAACTGATAGGCATTGAGATGGAAGGTGAGTCACAGTGCCTTCACTCATGGAGCTGCACAGTGGCTAACAGACCGCAAGACTCCAGGATGTAACGGGTGGCAGCTGACAGTACTGCTCAGCTCATAGAAGGAGGAGAGGGAGCAAGAGCCTGTGCTGGTGATGATACAAGCAGCAGCTGATGTCCAGGGCTTTGGCCACGTCTGCTGGGTTTGGGCATATCTGTCTCCGAGAATATCTTTGGCAACAAACCCACCCATGGTTTCCTGCCCCGTGGAACAAGAGTTACTAAGGCAAGTCACTGGACCAAGTGGGAGCCCCTGGAACTGCCCCTACTCTTTGCCAGCGTGGCCCACAAAAAGCGGTGCCTTGATCTCAGGGAGCTGCTACGACCCAGGCCACTGTAGGAGACCAAGGGTTCGAAGACTGGCTCCTCATCATGTCCATGGACAGTGGCCCCTGGTTCCTATCGTGTCCTCGACAGCAGCTCCAGACGACAGTCCCTGCTGTGGCCTGTTTGATGCAACCACTGGCCCTGGGAAGACCTGGTGGAACTGGGCAGGTGACTCCAAGCGTCGCCAGGCGTGGCCCCAGCTATGGCTGCCATGTGTGTTCACTGACTTGGATCCGCACTCCTCTACCGGGTGATTCTTCCTGACCCCCACCAGCTGGCCTTTGTGGAGAAGCCCTGCTTCCTGCTCTCCACACCACCAGGAGAGGGGCTTCCGGGCCCTGTCAGACACTGATGTGTGACCACAGGTGCCACGGAGCCTCAGGTTTGGGCATAGATGGAGATCCATCACATGCCGCTATGGGTCAGGTGACAGGTCCAGCAGAAGCAAGCAAGTCCTGGTGCAGATGGCGTGAGGTAGACCTGTCTGGGCTGAGCTGCTCTGGGCTCTGCTGGCTCCATGGGAAAGGGTGGCCCCTCAGGAAGGCCTGGCCCGTGTGCAGGCGGCTGTCCGGAACACTGGACACTTGTGTGCCCCCACCCCAAACCCAGGCCGCCGCCCTGGGCCCTTCTCACCACCACGTGTCAGCCCCTGGACACGAATGGTTACCATGCCACCTGCAGGCCACTTGTTTAATCAAGAAGTTTCAGGCAAAACAGTGGCAGCTACTCTGCTCTTCATTGCTTAGCACTCTGGCCTGGTGCCTCTCCTTGCTTAGAGCCTGCTGCAGTGTCAAACCCGTGTCCCTGGAAGGCAACTCCAGCAAGGTTGTGCCAGCAAGATGCAGCTGACACTGCCCAGACAGCAGAGAACAACGAAGGTGGCACAGGGCAGGCAGAGGAGGAAGTGGAGAGGCAGCTGTCACTGCTTCCCTCTCTGGAGTCCAACCTGCCCACTCGTCAGGTGGCTCTTGAGGAAGGAAAGCTGTTGCTGTCCTCAGCTGGTAACTCCTGTGATGGCGCTCCTGCTGGGATCCCCACCCTAGGCGACCCTGCGCTGGTGTGCAGATAAGGGCCTAGGACACACTTGGGGGCAGGAGGACATGTGGGACCCCTGGGAAGGAGAACACCTGGAGAGGGGGCACATGGGAACACCAGGGATGAGGACATGCCTGGGGGAGGGGATGACACGAGAGCACCTAAGATGGAGACACGTCTGTAGGAAGAAGTGACACAGATGTACCTGGGAAGGAGACCACCTGGGAGAGGGCGACACAGGAGCCCCTGGGATGGAGACATGCCAGTTGGAGAAGGTGACACGGGAGCACCTGGGATGAGGACACATCTTGGGGAGAGGGTGACACGGAGCACTGTGACTGGGACACATCTGGGGGGTGACGTGGAAGCACATGGGCTGGGGACATGCCTACGGGATGGCTCGCGTGACTGGGACCAGGCGTTGGAGTCGTCCACATACAGAGTCCTTCAAGCCCTGGAAAGCACTTGTGGTCTGAGGGAGACTGCACTGCCAAGCACCCCCCTGCACCTTGAGAAAATGTTTTAGGTTCTTAGATCTCTTTAAAAATCCCGGATGGCGTCGAATAAGCCCCTCGTCGAGTAAACCACGCTTGTTTTATTAGCACTTGGTCATTCTAATACTAGCTCAGCCATGTCTCTGAACGAAGCCAAGCTGGGTGGACGCCAAGTCCAGACTGTCCTGGGCGGCCTTCCGCTTTCCACGCGCTGGCCAGGCACCAGGCCTCACATGAAGCGCACAGAGGAGCTCCCAGGCCTGAGCCAGGAGCCCCGCGGGAGACGCCGCCCGTGCCG